GAGCTTCCATAGTAGGGTGCTTACTTCCCAGGAACGAACAGTGATAAGGACAACCTTAGAGATGCAGAGGAAGTGGTTGAGATTTAGAGGACTGAGGTGCATTGAATGCCTGCGTTTGTGGCTCATCTCATTTACTGAGCTGTCCTCTGTACCCGGCACCCAATAGATGTGTTATATAATCATGTGAGTAGTGTGTGTGGGCCAGAGGTCTCCTGCAGCATGCAGAGCTGGACAGCTAGACCCCCAGCACACCTGTAACCAAGCCACAGTGTCCCTGACGTCCAGTCGCACACTCAGACGTGCTTAAAAGCTTCAAAGTTTGATTCTTAAAACAGTAAGCGTCAATATTTGAGTGAGCATTCAACACAAAATTGGGCGGGACTGCTCCAAAACCCAGTGGAGAAGGGGAGAAAATAATTAAGAGAAAAGGAGAAATAAGTAAATTAGAAAGGGAGGGGAAGAGGAGTAGAATAGAATGAATCTAACAGCTACAGTGAAACTTGTGAAAGCCAGAACTTGCCAGCATTGCCTTGTTTTTTGGGGTCTCCAAACAAGTTTTCCACCTTTGACAGAGTGCAGTCTTACACTTTTCATTTACTTCTTTTAGTGGAAAATATTTGAGTTTTCCTTCTCTGGCAGGTTTCCACCTTACACAGGTTCTAGCTTTCACAGGTTTTACTGTAAAAATCCCTGTGATGAACCAAGGGGAAAAAACTAAAGTGTAAAAAATTAGAAAGCTCTCAAGCAATAGAGAGAATTAAGTTTTTTTTTTTTTTTAAGTGTCATGCATGACTGTTGGAGCCATGGTGGCGCAGTGGTTAAAGCTACAGCTGCTAATGAAAAGGTTGGCAGTTCGAGTCTTCCACCTGCTCCTTGGGGGCAGTTCTGCTCTGTCCTGTAGGGTTGCTAATGAGTCGGAATTGACTCCAAGGCAATGGGTTTTTTGGCATGACTGTTACACAAAATTGTGCCTGTGGCCAGACAGGGAGCCCTTCAGGAAGCCGGCTCATGTGGTGCGTTTCCCGTGTCTGGATGACTCCTCAGGCCAGTGTTGCTGGTTGTTGGAGCTGCAGGTGAATTCCTATGCCTGGCTTCTTGAATTACTCCAGAAGAAAATTCCAAATCTTAAGAGCTCCAATTCAAAGAAATACTCTAACTTTGAAATCAAGAATGTGGATGAAAATAAATACAACCCCAGAGGTCCTAAGGAACAGGAAAGGAATTAAATGCTAAAGATTAAGGCAAATATAAATGAGTTGGAAGGGACAGGCACACAGAACGCAAACAAATTCAAAAGCTTATTTGAGGGAAAAAAACTTAAAAACCAAACTTGTGCTGTCCAATTGATTCAGACTCAGGGACCCTATAGGACACTGTAGAACATCCTCATAGGGCGTCCAAGGCTGTAGTCTTTATGGGAACAAATGACCCGGTCTTTCTCCAGTGGAGCTGCTGGTGGGTTCAAACTCCACGGTTAATAGTGCCGCGCTTAACCTTTTCTCCACCAGGGCTCCTTTATTTCAGGAAAGAGAGTGGTAATAGATTAACTGTCCCTAATTTTATCAAGTTAAAAAAAAATACATAAAAACCACCCTAAAGGTAGAAAAGGAGTGACTAGCAAAGGCTGCAGGAGCCCTGGTGGTGCAATGGTTAAGCGCTCGGCTGCTAACTGAAAGGTTGGTAGTTCAGACCCACCAGCAGCCGCTCCACGGGAGAAAGATGTGGCAGTCGGCTTTCGTAAAGACTTATAGCCTTGGAAACTCTATGGGGCAGTTGTACACTGCCCTATAGGGTTGTAATAAGTCAGAACTGACTCGGCAGCAGTGGGTTTGGTTTGGTCGCTAGGGCCGTTAAAGGCATGTTGCAGCACCTGTCTGTTGTGCAATCCCAGCCCGGGGCGACGCGACGCGACGCGACTCGACTCTGACTCACTCTGACTCACTTCGCTGATAGCGCGCCAGCATATTGCAACACCTGATGGGTGTAAAAGCGGGAGGCCTCAGAGGCGGAACTCGGTTGGAAGCTGGGGCCAGAAGATGGACGGTACCTCCGTTGTTCGTTGCCGCGCGAGGAAAGCGCCCGCGCTGTCCCCTGCTCCTCGTGAGCCTGGGGGAAAGGGACTTGCACATCAGGAAGGTGTGTGGGGAGCTCCGGCGGGGCGTGCGGGCCACAATTCGCGGGTCTTCTATGGCGAAGGAAGCCCTTCTCGGTGGTTTTAAAACGAAGGAACGAAACCCCCCAAAAGCTGCTGAGCAGCATAGCTACGGCCATCCGGGCGGGGCCGGGGCCGAACCGCTCCACCAAGATGGCGGCTCCGGAAGTCAGCTCCGCCGAGGCTCCTGGGAATTGTAGTGCGGGGGGGGGGGTACGGGCGCGTGGCGCGCTTCCGGGACTGGCCGGAAGCAGCAGTTTGCTGAGTCTTCCGGACGCAGAGGGGACATCGTCGCCATTTTACGGGTGGGGAAACCGAGTCACGCGCCGGTTGCGCGAATATCGGGTGTTCGCATAGGGCTGCGACTTGGTCAAGACCACTTCCCCAGGAACGACAGTATTTCTTCTGCAAGCCCGGCACTTGAGCGCCTTTGAATGAGTGCTCAGGTTGGCAGGTTTAGCAGGTGCAGGAAGGATACGGACGCCGAGAAAACAGCAGGCGCGGCTTGCACAGGCAGCTGCTCCTAACGTCTCAGATTTCTCTGTTCCTTACCCACACCCCGTAAACGGAGTTGCGTTCCACGTATACAATTTTGTGCTTTTCACTTAATGTCACAAGATCTTTTCTACTTTACAATAATTCCATATAATCGTAATTTTTGGCCTCTACATACTAGTCTTTCAGTTTTATTGAGCCGTGTTTTGACACTGTGTTAACAGTTTTGCTCTATCTTAGATCACGTTGCTCAGGATGTGCGTGTGTTGTGAAAATAATGATCAGCCAGTAAGGACGCATAGGCTGTTTACTCAGTTTCCTGTGCACAGGGAGTATAGTCACGGTCTCTTGTGTTGGGTAGAGACTCAAAGGCAGGTGAAGAAAGCTTGGTTCTGGTTGGAAGCTAGAGGCAAGCTAAATAGAAGTGGGGCATGTTAACATCGTTGGCTGAGGAGTATATTTGACTTTATCGGGTTGGTCCTTAGCTGGGAGCATAGGCAAAAAGAAAAAGTGGTGGTGGGGCGCCTAGCATTGACCAAGTCCTGAATGTTCTGGGCTGTTGGCTGCAGAGGTTGTGGTTCACTTTCCTGGGCTGATTGTCACCGAGATTGTGGGTCAGAGCTTGTGGTTGTGTGTGATGTGGCCGTTGTCCGTTTGTATATTCAGTGTCTAGGTGTGTCTCTGCATCTCTGAAGACTGCCCTGACTATGAGTTAACCCAGTGAAAGCATCTGGATAGTAATTGCTAGTGCTTTGAGTTTGCTAACAGTTGATAAAACAGCAAGAGTAGATGTGCAGGTGTGCTCTTGATGTCAGCCACATCATAACCATTTTTACAAAATGTCATTTCCAATTGGAAGTAAATCATAAACATAGTCATTTACATTTATTTTGTGTTTGTTTTTTAAGGCTTTTGTTAAGTCATTTTGAATTAGTACGTTTTCTTGGGGTTTTAAGGAGCTTTCTGATGTCTTATTGCTTTGCATTTCTGAGCTGCCTTAGTGTTCAGTCAACCAGATGTACTATTGTGGACACTGTGTTGGGCCCCAGGCTACCTGTCTCAAACATCCTTGTTCTTGGTTCCCTTGGAGGAAGGAGCAGCTTTTTTTCCCCTTAGAAGTGCCATGCAGAGGTAGCATCGCTGATCTGTTTTGAACTGCTGTTGCCACTTTTTCTCTAATTGTTTTTAATAGCTGTATTCACATACCATAATTTTTACTCTTACTAATTATACAATTAAGTGATTTTTTAGTATATTGACGAGGTTGTGCAACTTTCACAGTTGTCTAATTCTAGAAGATTTTAATCACCCTGAAAAGAAATTCCGCACCCATTAGCTGTTGTACCCCAATCCTATCAATCCATCCATCTCCTGACAACTACTAATTTCCTTTCTGTTTTTGTAGATGTGCTTATTCTGGACATTTTATCTAAATGTTATTGTACAACATATGGTGTTTTATGACTGGCCTTTTTAATGTAGTATAGTGCTTTCAAGGTTCATTGGTGTTGTAGGACGTGTTAGCACTTCATTCTTTTTCAAGGTCAAATAATATTCCATTATGTGGATGTATCACAATATGTTTATCTGTTCTTTAGTTGATGAACTCTTGGATTGTTTCCTGTTTTTGGTATAGTGTTGCTGTAAACGTTTGCGTACAAAGTTTTTGTGCGGATGTGTCTTTTCAGTTTTTTTGGGTATATACCTAGGAATGGGATTCGTAGGTCATATAGTAACCCTGTGCTTTGTGAGGCGCTTCCCTACTGTTTTACAAAGCAGCTGCAGCACTTTACATTCCCACCAACAATGTGAGAGGGTTCCAATTTTTCCACATCCCAACAAACCAACACTTGTTCTTGTCCACCTTGATTATAGCCACCCTGGTAGTTGTGAAAGGAGCCCTGGTGGTGAAACAGTTAAGCACTTGGCTGCTAACCAAAACGTCAGTGATTCAAACTCACCCAGTGGCTCCTTGGGAGAAAGACCTGTCACTCCGTTCCCATAAAGACTGTTCTTGTTGTTAAATGCTGTCGATTCTGATTCATCTTTACAGAAGCAGCCCTGGTCATGCAAAAGGTTAATACTTGACTGCTAACCAAAAGTGGCAGTTCAAACTCACCCAGCAGTTCCACAGGACCAAAAAACCTAGTAATCTGCTCCCGTACAGATTACAGACCAGGAAATCCTATGGGGCAGTTCTGCTTTGTCACATGGGGTTACTATGAATCAAAATCGATTCCCTGATATCTAACAAGAAGTGGTTGTAAAGTGGTATCTTGTTGTGGGTTTGCATTTCCTTGGTGGCTAATGATGTTGACGTATGCTGATTGCCTTGCTCTGTTTTTGCTTACAGAATGTCCTGTGGCTCAGCTGGATCCTCAAGAGGACCCTTTCCCTGATGGGAAGAGGGGCTCAAGACCCCTGCGGAAGATGGAGGTCGTGGAGGCTCAGCTGGATCCCCATGCGGACCTTCTCCCTGATGGGGAGGGGGACTCGAATCCCCTGAGAAAGATTGAGGTTGCGGAGGTGCTCACGCTGAACCAGGAGGCGGCTCGTTCCCGCAATGCCCAGATTCGAGCCCTCTATGCTGAAGACGGGGGCCTAAACTCAGAGCTCCCTGGGGAGCCTGCTGGACAGCCAGGCGAACATTCTGCTGACCCTGAGGCGGCTCGCCAGAGGTTCCGGCAGTTTTGCTACCAGGTGGCGATGGGTCCCCAACAGGCCCTGGCCCAGCTGCGTGAGCTCTGCCACCAGTGGCTGCGGCCCGAGGCACGCTCCAAGGAGCAAATGCTGGAGCTGCTGGTGCTGGAGCAGTTCCTTGGCGTGCTGCCCAGAAAGCTTAGGACTTGGGTGGAGTCGCAGCACCCAGCAGACTGCCAGGAGGCAGCAGCCCTGGTGGAGGTCGTGACTTGGATATCCACAGAAGAAGGTGGGTATGCCGGAAGCGTTGGAGAGGGGCAGCTCTTTTGGCCTCCTGGGGGATGCCATGCAGGCGAGGGAGAGTTCCAGCCTTCCTGTGGGGTAAGGAAGGGCTCTGCCTACTCCTTCTGGACCAAGGGCGTCTGCATCCTTCATGCATCCCCTCCCCACATTAGAGCTTTAGATGCTTCCTTGCTAACATGCCTGCCTCTGCCCCTAAATCAAGGGCTCTGGGAATGCCCTCCTCCCTAGTCTCATTTGTTGGAAATGAAAGTTCTCAGGCCCCATCCCAGAATGTCTTAATTATCTCGGTTGCCATCGAGTTGATTCTGACTCATAGTGACCTTATAGAACAAGAGTAGAACTGCCCCATAGGATTTCCAAGGAGTGGCTGATGGGTTTGAGCTGCCGACCTTTTGGTTAGCAGCTGTCCTCTTAACCACTGCACCACCAGGGCTCCACATTTTAATTATTTAGTGCTGCTATAACAGAAATCCCACAAGTGGGTGGCTTTAACAAATATATTTTCTACAGTTTAGGAGGTTAGAAGTCTGAATTCAGGTACCAGCTCTAGGGGAAGGTCTTTGTTTCCTTTCAGCTTCTGTTTCTTGGTCTCTTGGAGATCTTGTTGGGATGGCGTCTGTCTTCCCGATCTCTGCTTGGTCAATCTGCTCTTCTTATATCCCAAAAGAGATTGATTCAAGATAGACCCTACACTAATACTGCCTCATTAACGTACGAGAACCTATTCCCAAATGGGATTGTAACCACAGGTATAGAGATTAGGATTTACATAATTTTGGGAAACGCAATTCAGTTTATAATGCAGAGCTACTGAAACCCTGGCCTAGGGCCCACCACAGCTTCTTTGGCAAGCCCTCCAGGGCCTTCTGATGGATAAAGTGCTTCTTGTCATGCTTTTGGGAGCCCTGCCTCACCACGAGCACATCGGAAACCAAATTTTAGTTAAGTGGGTATATACGTGGGGTACTTTCCAGTTTCAGGATCTTGGTAGGGGCTATACATAAAGTTAGGTCCCTGGGTGGTGCAAATGGTTTGCACTCATCTGCTAACCTAGCGGTTGGCGATTTGAACCCACCCAGCAGTGCTGTGGAAGAAAGGCCTGGCAATCTGCTTCCATAAAGATTACAGCCATGAAAATTTTATGGAAGTTTTACTCAGTAAAACATGGGTCACCATGAGTCGAAATCCACTGGAAGCAACAGTTTTGGGTTTGTTTGTTGTTTGTTTTTTTAGCGTAAAGTAGCAACTAAGAACGAAGGGGCTTGTGTGCTTGTGGGGCCTGGGGTCCAGCAGGAAAGATGAGTGTTTGACGAATAAATACACAGGTGACATGTGCTGGGGTCAACATGGACTGGAGGTGCTGGCGAGACTTGTGAAGGCCAAGTTGCTGTAGTCTGAGTAGAACTTAGCCTTGTGAAGAAGGGGAGCTAAGCAAGGGGGGATGCGATGTACCTGTAAAGATCCCAACGTGGGAATGATCACTCAGAATTGGAGAGAAGGTGTGCAGTTCTGTGGTGGAAGGGAGCACCAACCCTTGGATGGCCCATCTATTTCAAGTCTTGCCTGTGTCCAAGGGACTGGGCTGGCCAGGCCCTTGGGAGCCCTTCTGGGAGTTGTGGCCTCACACCTTGTGAGCCCTTGTGGAGATTTCCACATCATTCTAAAACCACAGTAAGCGTTTTCTGTGTTCTAAGGGGTTGTGGCATCATCTGATTTGAGCGTTGAAGTGTCTTTCAGCTGGTGTGTGCAGCTGTTGTATGCGGTGGATGGTGAACATGGGCAAGTAGTGAAATAGCTGGGCCACCCAAGGGCTGGTGCCACTCCTAATGAGAGGGTGGAGGCTCACATTGGAGTGTCAGTGGTGGGGGCTGAGGGGAGCACACAGGTGAGGGATGTGTGTAGGAGCAAGACTCCATGGAACTTCATTGTTCTACCAGGCTCTTTCACAGGGGCTAGGACGTTTCCGAAAAGGAGCCCTGGTGGCACAGTGGTTAAGCACTCAGCTGCTAACGGAAAGGTCGGTGGTTTAAACCCACCAGCCAGTCCATGGGAGGAAGACTTGGTGGTCTGCTTCCATAAAGATTGCAGCCTAGAAAACTTCTATGGGGCAGTTCCACTCTGTCACATGGGGTCGCCATGAGGCAGAATTGACTCAACGGCACCCAAAAACAACAACAACAATAGGACATTTCTGTGTCGCGTACTGTCACATTTTGCATTCCTATTCAGGCCTGGCACGTGGTGGTGTCTAGAATGTGCTTCTTGTGAGAGTAAATCATTGGAAAGTTAAGGTTTTTAGTAGAGGGGTTCTCTTTGATGGTCTGGTTGGGCTTAGTGTAATCACAAGGGTCTTTATAGGAGGGATACCACAAGGTCAGAATCAGAGGAGATGTGATGAGAGATGCAGAGGTAAGAGTGATGAGGGGCCACCTGCCAAGGAAGGCAAGCAGCCTGTTTTGTCTGTCGAGTAGATTTGACTCATAGCGACCCCATGTGAGAGAGTAAAACTGTTCCATAGAGTTTCCTAGGCTGTAATCTTTATGGGAGCAGATACCAGGTTCTTTTCTCCCTTGGAGCCGCTAGGTGGGTTTAAACTACTACGTGTTTGATTACCAGCTGAGCGCCTAACAGTTGTGCTGCCAGGGCTCCTTAAGCTGCCTTTTAGAAGCTGGAAAAGACAAGGGACAGATTCTCCCCTTGGGCCTCCAGAAGAAATGTAGCCTGGCCAACATCTTGATTTTAGCTGAATGAGATTAGTTTTGGGTTTCTGATTTCCAGAACTATAAGAGGATAAGTTTTTGTTGTTTTAAGCAACTAAGTTTTCCGTCAATTTGTCATAGCAACAATGGGAAACAACACAGGTGTCAAGGAAACAGTTTTAGAGTTCATGAGATGAAAGTCAATGAGTCTTTCCTGTATTTAAGTCCTTGGGGGGGAATGAAATCAACTAGCCTTCATACAGAGGAAGAGGCCCTCCAGAGAGCCTAACACCCAGTTTTGTGGGTAGCATGTTTGTTGTGACTTGAGTGTGAGAGGCAGAAAACCTGGTACAAAATGGTTTAGATTGAAAGAGAATGTACTAAGTACCAGGGTGACAGGCTTCAGGCACAGCTGAATCCAGGGGTCCAATGGTGTCATCAGGACTCCTCTTTCCCATCTCTAAGCTCTGCTGCCCTCTATTGGCTTCACTTGAAGCCACTTGGAGTTTCTGTTTTCCAATTATCCCGAAGTCTCGCTGGCTCTGATTGGCTGGCTGTGGACCCAATCACTGTGGCCAAGAGGATGCAATGGCCTGATTGGTCAGCCTAGGTCTGGTCCGAGCTGCTTGATAGCGGGATAGAGTCAGCATTGTAAGTTTGTGGACCATGTAGGAATGTGTGAAGAAGGCTGGATATGAGGGAGCCTTGGTTGGAAGGGAACATAAGGCCAGGGCAGGGTTTTTTTATTCCTAAGGTGGGAGAGACTTGATAAAGTTCACACAGAGTTGGATGAGTGTCAGGAGAGGGAAGACAGCCTCAGGGATAGGAGAGAGCAGAGCCATCCTGGGGGTGGAGGGAAGTCACACCCTCCCTGGGACAGCAGGAGGGAGGAAGTGCAGGGTACAGGACCCAGAGGCTGGAAATGAGGGTTTTGCCTCTATGGAGGAGAAGGCAGCCAGGCCAGCTGCAGGGATGAATACGGAGATGAGGCAGCTCGCCTCAGAGGGGCTGGGATCTGAGTTAGTACTTGGGAGAGGGTGGGAGCAGAGATTTCAGGGGCAGCAGTAGAATGCAGGTGTATGCCAGCCCCTCAGGGTCACAGTGAGACAGACAAGCATCCCTCACCCTGATTTAGCAAGCCTGGGAGAGGCCAGGATGTGGGTGGTTCTTGTGGAGATAGCACCTGGATCTAGCCTTGCCTGAAGTCTACCCCTGCTCCTCCCCAGCTCTGCCATCCCAGGGCCCTGCCTCTTCTCTGGAGATCACTGATTGGCAAGAGGAAGAAAAGGAGGAGAAGGTGGCTGACTGTCCAGCAAAGGAGCTGCCTGAGGTGAGTGTGATTGTTGCCCTCTTGCTCTGTGCTTTGGTCACAGGATCACCTGTGCAGTGGGCCCCGCTCTCAAGGCTTCCCTATACCCTGGGCTTCCCTCTTGGCTTCCCTCCAGCTGTGTACTCAGAGCCGTGCTGGGCTCTGAAGTGGCCTGAACTTTGAAGAAGGGTACAGTGAGGCAAGAGGGATGGGGACCGAGTACTTAGAAGAGACCTGAGAGATGGAGCAACCAAAGGCAGGGGCGTGTGGACTTGGTCCAGATCTTGGTTAGAATGAGCGAGGCCTCGTCCTTCGGAATTACAGACTTAAGTATTGATGAGCGAAGTGGTACAGAGCCTAGGATTTGCTTCAGAATAACGCACACGTGGAGCATGGACCAGACAGGACTGGTCATGTGTTGAGACTAAGTGATGAGTATTCGGGGTTGGTTTCTTTTATGGGTTATTTTTGTATTTGTTTGAAGTTCTCCATAATGAAAAAGGACAGGGAGTGCAATCAAGGTGAGGTGCGTCGTGTATGTGGCATTGGTTAGAGCTCTTTCGTTGTAGGTGGCGTATATGTAATGAGTTGTGCAGGGGTAGGCTTTGAGCAAGGCTGGATCCAGGTGCTACCCTGTGATGGGAGGATCTCTTCCCAACCCCAGTGTCTTGGCTCTGCTTTCCCCTTGCCAGCTTCATTCTCAGGCAGGTTCTGCCACGTGGGAGCAAAATACCTCTGTAAAAACTGCATGAGGGCAGCGTCTGACCACCTGTAACTTCAGAAGGGGGAAGGAGAATCCAGACCAACAGCCCAAGGCTCATTCCCATGAGGCGGAGGTCAGACATGCCTTCTGTTTCCACCATCTTTACCAACTCTGACACCAGCCATCCCTCGCACTGTACTTCTCTCCTGGGTTCGATAATTCATTGCAGTGGCCACACAGAACTCACAGACAATACTCACGATTATGGGGTTTATTAGGGAAGTAACAGGTTACAGTTCAAGTTTAGGAACATTCAGGATACAGGTCTTCTATCAGGATAGACTCTTCTCCGCTGTGTTTACAGGCACGCCTCTCCCTGGCCCTAGGCCTCTGCCCAAAGGCACTCAGCTTTCCCGCTCCATGAGCTGGGAAGCCCACTGCGCCTCCTGCTGCCAAGTCTTTCCTGACAGGTGTCTCCTGCCACCACTTCTCACCACCTTCAGGGTTACAGCTTGCTCTCTCGGTCTCTTGCTTCCAGGAGATTCTCAGCACAGGGATCCCAGGTCCCAAGGACGTGCTGGCTTCTGACCTTCCTTGGTGGTGATGGGCTCCTCCCTTTCCCGCCTCTGGGGTGGCTTATTTCAAGCCCAGCCGGATGGCAAAACTGACCAATCCCCTTGGTAGGCTACAGTTAAATCCTGTCTGTACAGTCCCGCCCAATCACCTGGGTGGGAGTTACAAGACCCTGGCAAGAAAGGCAACACAAAAGCAATCCATTACACTGCAGCCCCCCAGCTCCAGGTGAAGGGGCCTGAGGAGACGTCTTCCTCCTAGCATCCTGATCAACTCCTTAGTAAGGACTCGTTACGGATCCAACCTGGGGCAGCCTCTGAGTCCACAAAGGTGGCAAGAGCTTGGTAGACAGTTAATCAAGTGGGTGAAGGGGGACATCTGCTCATGGAGGAGCAAGGCTTGTCAAGTGGGGGTGGGATATGTGGAGGGGTTGCAGAAGGAGGGGTGGAGCTTGTCAGAGTAGATGCGTGTCAGGTGGGAGCAGGGCTTGTTGGAGAAAGGTGATTCAGGTGGGAGTGAGGCTTATCAGAATGTGGGAGTGTTTCAGGTGGGGGTAGGGCTTTTCAGAGGGGGTTGGCCTCAGGTGAGGGCATCTAGGTGGGGCAGTGTCAGAAAAGTTTAAATGCAGGTGGAATGGGGGGGGGCAGGCAGTTTGCCTGTGGCACTTGTAGATCTTTTTGAAGTAGGAGCTGAGGTTGTCACTTTAAGAGACAGACCAGAGGTTGGAAGGATGGGAGGTTTCATTGGCCGCGGGAGGAGAGGGTTTGGGGAGCCTCAAAAGCTGCAGGCAGTGCTGAGAATCACCAGCTGGGGTCAGTAGCTGCATTTGGAGGCTCCAGTTAGCCTACTGCCCGGTCTTCTGTGTCATATAACTGCTGTACCAGAATTCAGGGTTCCCAGCAAAAGACACAAACCACTTGCTCTACTAGTGCATTGAGCAACGTTGTACTCACAAGAGAGAGAGTGAGATCAGCTTCACTTGTGGGCACTGGTCTCGCGTGGCCAGCGAGGGGGTTGTTCCTCGTGGCTGATGGAGGCATTGCTCTGCACACACCCTTCCTGTGCTGCAGACAAGAGAGCCCGCTTTCTCCTGCCAGGAACAGATAGAGAAGTGGGGTTGGCCAGGTGCCATGTGGTGCCTGCACATTTGCAAGAGACAGAGAAAGTTACTGTGCCCGGAACAGAGGGGAAGGCTGCTCTGATAAGGAGAAGGGGGTGAGAGAGACCCAGTTCCCAGTCTCCTTAATCGAAGAATGTTCTGGGCGCAAGGCTTCTGCTTAGGCAGCCCAAATAAGAGGTATAGAGGCAGACCATCCCCCCAACACTCTGTTTCAGCTTTTTCTGCCTGGTGCTGGTGCCAAGCAGAGGGACTGTGGGGATCACCAACACTGGGGTGTTTCCAGGAGGGAGGGATGAATAGGCCCTGGGAGAGGGCACTGTGGCTGGTGTGGTGCCAGGGCATTGGGTCCTCATGGGGCAGGAAGTGAGACCAGTGGTGCCTGGGAGGTGAAGGGAAAGGAGACACTGGGGCCGTCAAGTCCCTGGGAGGTTGAACAGAGCGGGAGCTGGAGCAGCTATGGATGTGGGACAGGTCTGCTTCCAGATCCCGTAAGCAGCACCTGCATCCAGGTGGAGAAAGCAGAGCAGCCTGCAGTGGTGGCCAGAGCATGGTGGGAGGGGTGTGGCAAATTTAGAGAAGGACTAGCCAAGGCTGGAGAAGAGGTGGAGCGAGGGCAGAGGGACAGCATTCGTTGCTCTGCTGCTTCAGTCCACTGTGCTAGACGTGTGGAACGTGAGCTCCTTAGAGAAACTGAAGGCCACACTGACCCACGCACTAGTCTGTTCCGTTCACGTCCAGACACGGGCTGTATGTCACAAATTGTAGTAATCATGGACATTTTTGAATGCTTACCGTGGACAAGATTAGTGTGTGGTTTACATTCAAATGTTACCATTTAATCAATCCAGCAGGTATGTGGGGAAGGTCTTCTCAGTGCCTCTGTCTTACAGAAGGGGAAATAGAGGCCTAAGTTCACCAACCCACCTCTGTATACCAAGAAAGCAGCAGAGCTGGGGTTTCAATCCAGGAGCTCTCACCTCTGTGCAGGGTGCCCTGGGGGTGGGGCTCTGCCTCTCATCTTGAGACCCAGACTCTAGTTTTATCAGAGGGGCGAGACATGTTTCAGGCCCAAGTTGGTGTCTCTCTGAGGAAATGGCCAAAGCAAGGGCCCCCTCAGTGCAGACAACTCTCTGATTCTCATGCAGAGGCACAAGGGCTTGGGCTGATGGGACATGTGGGTGCTGTTGCAGGAGGCTGTGACCTTCCAGGATGTAGCCGTGGATTTCAGCCGGGAGGAGTGGAAGCTGCTGGGCCCAACACAGAGGACGGAGTACCGTGACGTGATGCTGGAGACCTTCGGGAACCTGGTCTCTGTGGGTAAGGCTGCAGCCTCCCCAGCCACTCTGCCCTTCCTGTATTCTCAGGGCCTCCAGCTAGGACTGGGCATTGGTGGCCTGTTACAGGGCTCCAGACTGCTTTCCAGGATGGACCTACCCCTCCCCTGCCCAGCACTTTCTGCGGCCTTTCTGTAACCCACACCCGGGACCCATGCTCCACTCTCTGAGCTAGAGCAAGGAGGAGGGGTTAGGGTAGAGGGGCAGCTGTTCAGACTCTCTGAGGACCTGAGCCCCTTGGGAATCTTCCTGCCTTCCCCAAGTCTTCCCTTCTTGGTGTCTTGCTGCTGCTGTAGCAGAAATACCACTCATGGGTAGCTTTAAAGAACAGAAATTTGTTTTCTCACAGTTTAGGAGGCTAGATGTCTGAATTCAGGGGATCAGTCTAGGGGAAAGCTCTCTACCTGTTGGCTCTGGGGGAAGTACCTTGTCTCTTTCAGCTTCCATAGCCCCACTGTTCCTCATTTCTTTGGTGATCCTTATGTAGCATCTATCTTCCCCTTGTTTATTTTCGTCTGTGTCTGTGGTGCTCCTTATAACTCAGAAGTGATTAGGTTTAGGACACATCGTACATTAGCACACTAAAGAAAACCCTATTTCCAAATAGGATTATATCTGAAGGTTATAGGGGTTAGGATTGCAACATGTATTTTGGGGGACACAGATTGATCCCTGTCACCTTCTATCCATCTATCTTCGTGGGGACAGCGTTTTTCTCAGTGAGAACATTTCCTCTGGGTGCCCTGTTCCATCCCGCCATGTTTTCCTCAGCAGTTCTCCACAAAGATCATATTTTATGGATTTATCTGCCTTTTATTTTTTTTGTAATTGTCATTTTAAGCACGTAGTTTCAAAAGCAGAAACGATCATTCATCTCCCAGCCCAGCCCTTCTTTCTAGCTTCCTGTGTTCTGCTGGCCTCCTGGGCCCCTGAGGCACTTCTTGTGTGTGCTCTGCCAGCATTACCCACCTCCTGTGGCTCTGTCATTCTCTTTGTCCTCATTCTGCCAGATCCCCTCAGCCGGGTTTAAGTTACCACCATCCCTAGGTTTGTTAGCCCACTGTGTCCTAGTGTCCTTGCACCCAGCTTAGACACTGTTGTTGACCTCTCTTGTTTTATAAATGATTATAATACTAGTGGACGAATTGAGAGCTGAACTGAGCACATCGACTATTCTGTCATGAATGGTTTCCAACCCACGCCATTTCCTATAAGCAAGTTTGTGGTCGTCACAGGCAGAGTTGCATCCTTAGGGCGGGGAGGTTGATAGACATGTCCTCGCCCTTGTCATGAAGGGAAGGAAGGGAGACACTGTCACTGGCAGAAGCAGCATGGACAAATCTAAGCATGTCCCCAGGCTTCTGCCCCTGCCACCGGTCCTCCACGGTGTTTCTGGGCCCTGTGGCCATTCGTATGCCTGGCCTTTCTCACCGCCTTCTCTCCTTCCCATCCTCCTGTAGAGGCAAGTAGCACCCATACAGACCCACATATCTGGGTCCTTACACCCAGGCATGTCCTCAGATACAACGGGGACAATGATATCATCTTTTTTTTTTTGGTAAAAATATTTACAGAAAACATATACCCGTTCAACATTTTTTACATATACAGATCATTGACAATGGTTACACACTTCACATTGTGTCACCATTCTCCTTGTCTCTGCCCCTGTTGTTTCACCACCATTAACACAGACTCTCTGCCTCTTAAAAGTTCTCATCGGTATTTTAGAGTTAATGTTCATTTAATCCCATATACATAATTCTTTAAAAGAGTGCAGTGCTCAAGATGAACATTCTTTATTAAATGAGCTAAATTGTTGTTTAGTTTAAAGATTATTTCATGGGATAGTCTCAGTTCAAGGCCTAAAAGTTGTTTCCAGGTAATAGATTCAGAGTTTCTCCAGTCTCAGTGTATTCAGTAAATCTTGGTTTCCAGTAAGAATTTGAAGTTCTATTCCATACTTTTTTCTGTCTTTGATCAAGATCCAACTATTGGATCCTTGATCAAAATGTTCATTAATGGTAGCCAGGCACCATCCATTTCTTCTGGTCTCATGACAGAGGAGGTAATAGTTCATGGAGACAGTGAGACCTACAGTCCATTTCTTTCTCTGATTCCTGGGTCTCCTCCTTCTGTTGGTCCAGGATAATAGAGACCAGTTGTATTTTGAGTGGCTGCTCACACCTTTTAAGACCCCACGCATTACTCACTGATACACCGTTGCCGTATTAACCAAAGCTGAGTCCAAGTATTTTTTAGGCTCGTTTTTTTTTTTAATTCCACAGTACCCTGTGCCACATACAGTACCATCTGCTTCATCCAGTTAGCTTTTGTTCCTCCTGACAGCCCTGCCAGCTAAGTATTTTTCCTCCTTGGTTTGTAGACAGGGCAAGTCAGACTTGGAGAGGTCACATAATGTGTCTGGGGCTGCGAAGCTGCTATCAGCGTAGCAGGCGCTGGACTTTGGGCCTCACAGGGCTCTAACCAGAACCGTGGACTTGGAGGGGTGGGAGAACTGCAGGGACAGCAGTAGACTCAGGCCAGTGAAGTACTGATTTGCTGTCCTCTGAGGGTGTATGAGAAGAACGGGAAGAGCGGCAGTGAGCTTGGAGAACGAACACTCCCTGTGTCTCCTAGGTTTGAGTGGACAAAGGCCTGGACATGGTGTTCTCGCTTCAAACCGGCATCCCAGCCCCCTGTACTATTCCTGCCAACAGCATTACTCTTGTCCCTTGATCACCAAGTTCACTGTTGCCCTCTTTGTTGCTTCACTGCTTTTCAGTCTCTCCTTGACTAGCAGGGTTTTTTTTTTTTGGTAGCTAGGGTTTTTTTTGTTGTTACATTTGTTTGTTAATACTGTGTGGTACAATACACATAACAGAATTTACCATTTTAAAGTGAACAATTCAGTGGTATTAAGTGCATTCATGGTGTTTGTAACTGTCACAACTGTCTAATTTCAAAACTTTTTCATCACCCCAGACAGATACCCTGTCCTCTATGATCCCCTAACTTGTGCATACTTAATCATACCTGTCATACTATCAGACCTGTTCTAGCACTGTCTCAGTATAGTGTCCACACTTCTTGGGTTTTTTTCAGGGTGGGAAACTACAGTGGAAAGCAAAGAGTTAACTCCAACTCCTGATGCTTCTGAGCAAGAACCAACCCACAGTCTTAAAGTGGATGAATCTTCAAAGGGTGGCCCTATGTCCTCCTCTTCAGGAGACATCTTGCAAGATGAGGTCCCAGAAGTCCAGAACACAGCATTGAAACAAGTGAGGTTTGCTCAGGAAAAGGCCCAACCTCAGGAGGAGAACTGCAAGAGCCCCCAATCCAGGGCAAACACTGGTCTATGCACAAGCCCTGTTTCACCACAGAAAATTCCTCTTAGAAAACGTTTACGCAAACGTAGCTCACAGGTTAAAAGCACAAAGCATAATTCACACATAAAAATTCATCAGAGTAGCTTCGAAGGGGGAAAAGCCAGGGAAAGCAGCGGTTGCGGGACACCCTGCAGCCGGAGCGCTCAGCAGATTACATTCACAAGAATTCACAAGGAAAGCCCACATTGCCGATGCAGTGAGTGTGGTAAAACTCTCCGGAACCCAAAGTACTTTTCTGTACATAAAAAAATCCACATAGGAGACAGACCCTTTGTGTGTCAGGATTGTGGAAAGTCATTCATCCAGAGCTCCTCGCTCACGCAGCATCAGAGGATTCACACTGGAGAGAAGCCATTTAAATGCCGCGAGTGTGGGCGAGCCTTCAACGATCGCTCAGCCATCTTCCAGCACCTAAGGACTCACACTGGAGCCAAGCCCTACCCATGCGGGGACTGCGGAAAGGCATTCCGCCAGAGCTCTCACCTCGTCAGGCATCAGAGGACTCACACTGGGGAGCGTCCCTACGTGTGCAACAAGTGTGGACGGGCCTTCAACCAGAGCTCCCACCTTATCGGGCACCAGAGGACGCACAACAGGGGGTTATGTAAGAAGAAAGTCAAGAAGAAACCACTTACCTCATAACTGTTGAGCCAGTGGGTACAGCCTTTGCCTTTTTCACCTGGTCTGCAATGTAATGTGTACAGGACTCCTCAGGATTCAAGACTTAAAGTGAAAAGGAAGTGTTGAATGAGCACATTCCCAAGACCTAAGACCACCGTGCACATAATAAGTAAATAAAAAAACCAGCTGGGAGTTGTTGCTCATGAATGTAGTGGTTGGGACAGAAGATTTAGTTTTCCAATCAGTTGACTTAGTAATTTGTTCATTATAAGTGATATGAATGAAGTCTGAAAATGTTTGTAATTTTATAAGTTTCAAAGGCTGGATACCAAATAATCTGTGCACTGATAATTATATCTATGGTAAAGATTTATGCATATGGACAAGGATTAAAAGAGAACATAGATAAATGAACTATATATTTCTGTGGCAGAATCTGTGTTTTTTTTCCCCTCACCTGTTTATTAAATATCGTTACAGTGATTATTTGATATTTAGAATAAGCAGTGGTAAAACAAAAGGAATGGTATTGTGGAACTGAAGTCTGTGATCATTTATAGCATGTTCTTTCATAGCATACCTTCATTGAGGTTAGAGTATAAATTGTCCAGAGGGCATTTTGGAAAGATGTATGCAAAAACTTTAAAAAGTACATACCAAACCAAACCCATTGCCACCGAGCCGATACCAACTCATAGCAACCCTGTAGGACAGAGTAGAAGTGCCCATTGTGGTTCCAAGGCTGTAATCTTTCCAGGAGCAGACTACCACATCTTTCTCCCAAGGGGCAGCTGGTAGGTTTAGACTGCTGATCTTTCAGTTAGTGGCTGAGCGCTTAACCACTGCACCACCAGGGCTCCAGAAAGCACGTACTGACCTCCAATGTTCACTTCTAGAATTGTAATCATAAAAGAATTAGAGTAATAATAGCTATACTTCATTGTGCATATAGTGAGAACCAAGCTCTGCATTAAGGACTTTATACACATTAAGGTAGGTACTTTTACTATACCTATTTTACAGATGAGGAGCCCTGGTGGTGCAACAATTAAGTTACTGGCTGCTACCCAAAAGGTTGCTGGTTCGAACCCACCAACTGCTCCAAAGATTACAGCCTAGGAAACCTTATGGGGCAGTCCTACTCTGTTACATGGGGTGTTATGGGTTGGAATCAACCTGACAGCAAACAACATTTTATAGATGAGAAGGTACAGTGAGGATGGCTGAGATGCCCAAGGTTATACAGACTCAAACCCAGGTAGGCACATGCCAGAGCCCAGCATCCTAATACTCTCCAAACTAGTATGTCATTACACTGTTATTTACAACTATTCCCCAAACTGTGGGCCCTTGGCACACCAATGGTACCCTAGGATCAGATACTCAAAGCTTGATCAGCGCCATGTAAAGCAGCTGATCCACAGACTCTTCCCAGTCCAAAAAATGATGATCAGCTTGCCGGAAGGACCAGTACACTGCTTCCTCATCAGGAAAGACTGCTCCAGAATAAAGTCAGCTGAACTAATAAAAGGGGTCTTGGTGAATTTATAAGGAACTCTGGTTGCATGGTGGTTAAGTGCTCAGCTGTTAACTGAAAGGACAGCTGTCTGAACCCATCAGCCATTCCACAGGAGAAAGATGTGGCAGTCTGCTTCTGTGTATATTACAGCCTTGGAAACCCTGTGGGGCAGTTCTGTATGTCTAATAGGATTGCTATGAGTCAGAATCAGCGGCAATGGGTTTCGTTTTATGCATAGTAGATTTACCTTCCGGAGCAAGCTCACACAGTCAATCTTGGACTGGTAACAAATCGCTTATGGGTAGACACTGGTCCACAGACCACACCATAAGTATTACTGCTCTGGATAATTTTAGGTGGTACATGGAAACAGTTATATATTCATTTTAAGGTGCATCACAAAAGAAATAGCTTGCAGGTAGACTCCTAAATTCATCCATATCTGCTTGAGATATGCTATTGGGGGAAAAAAATAGATTAAACAGTCTGTGGTTCAGAGAATTGACAAAAATGATGAGGGTCTTTCGGGTTTAGTAGGTATTGGATTATTTAGGAACTAACCTAATTGTGTGGTTGATGTTGTTTGCCATCGAGTTGATTCCGACTCTTAGCGACCCTGTAGGACAGAGCAGAACTGCCCCATGGAGTTTTCCAAGGAGTTTCCAAGGAGCAGCTGGCGGACTCAAACTGCTGACCTTTTGGTTAGCAGCCTGAGCTCTTAACCACTTTGCCATCAAGGCTTCCCTAATTGTCTAGCAATGTGCAATTGATTAGACATTTTGTGGTGCAAAGACTGGAATATAATGCAGCCATTAAAAATGAAGCCAGGCTTCTATTTGATGACCTAGAGGTGCTCTTCCGTCCAGGGAGATGAAAAAGCTCTAAGCTGCTTTCCCGAGGCACCTAAAACTCCAGTGGAAGTTGATAGTTGTTGCTTTGAGGAGCAGAATGTCCATTGTGTCCAATGTCCCCAGCAGCCCTGGTGGCACAGTTAAGTCCTCATTGCTAACCAAAGTTTGGCAGTTCGAGCCCACCCAGCGGCCCCACAGGAGAAAGACCTGGCGATCTGCTCCTGTAAAGATTACAGCTAAGAAAACCGTATGGCACAGTTCTCCTCTGTCACACAGGGTCACTATGAGTCAAAATTGAAGGGCACCTAACAACAACGACAAGGATGGAAAATCTAAATATGCTATTCAGCGGGATGGTTCTTTGGGGGCTCCTTTACACATCTATCCTGCAAACCATTTATTAAGCAGCAGTTACTTATTGAGGACCTTCTGTGTGCAGCACCTTATATCCCCAAATATTCCTACATGTGGGGATTTCCCCTATTCAAGCATGAAGAAGCCAGGCCAGAGTGTGTCACTTGCCCCATATCACTCAGCTTATGAGACTGTTTTATTTTTTGCCCACTACACATCTCCCAATTTCTCACCACTAACCTACACTATGAATTGTCACTCAAAACCCTAGCAGGTTCAAGTGTTACTGACCCTAATATAAAGGATAAAGGACACAATATAGGATGTATTGAGTAGGATAAAACCCAAACACCAAACCCATTGCCGCCCAGTTGATTCTGACTCATAGCAACCCTATAGGACAGAGGAGAACTGCCCCATAGAGTTTCCAAGGAGCCCCTGGTGGATTCAAACTGCTGACTTTTTGATTAGCAGCCAAACTCTTAACCACTGCACCACCAGGGCTCCAGGTTGGCAGACTAATGGCCCCCAAAGATGTCCACAAGCTAAGGAATGTCGACAGCCTCCAGAAGCTAGAAATACAAACAGGTTCTCCCCTAGAGCCTCCAAAAGGAGCACAGCCCTGCCGACACCTTTACCTGAGCCTAGTAAGACTCATTTTGGACATCTGGCCTCCAGAACTGTAAGAGCAAATTGGTGCTCACCAGCTGAAAGTCTGTGACTTTAAGTCACTGAGTTTGTGGTGATTTGTTACGGCATCCATAGGAAACTAATAAAGAGGCCTCCTTTACTTGGATGCCTCCAACCACTTGCCCATGAGGTACCTGCAGGAGCAGGAGCAGAGGGAGTGAGCGCATGAGACAGCTGGGTGAAAGGGAAGTGGTGATCATAGTGTGAATGCTGCCAATGTAGATTTCAGAGCATGGGCTTTCTGAGTACTGAAGTCCCCTGGACCCACAGAGGTCACTGAGGGGAGATGACAGCATCAGATAATAGTTCAAAAAATCAAACACCTGTGCTGCAGAATGTGCTCCCTTTGTGGCTGGGGGAGTGGTGGAAGGTGAGCAGTTATGGACAGCATACACTGGGCTTTGGGTAAGGGATAGCTGCTGGAACAATTCTACTTCCCTCTGCACCTTCTGGAAACCACTAATGTAAGAAAAGATTTTTTTTTTTCTTTTTTTTAAGAAGAGCATAAACCCAGAGGGTAAAGAGAATGGGAGAGGAGAAAATGGCAACAGTTGGAAAGCCACTGACCAGTGGTAATTGAGGTAGCAGCCCCAAGAGAGCGGAAACTGGAGCCAGCAGAGAGGAAAGCTGGGAGGCAGCCTCATCTGCCTCCAGAACCCCAAAAAAACCGGAATTGGAGGGACTGAGTACCCTAACAAGGGGTTGAACTAGAAGCACCACGGGAAGGTCCTCATATAGCTGGTTGACTGATTCTCCTTCACCCCAGCAGAAGGTTGGAGTTCACTCTCTTCAAAGAGTGAACCAGGGGAACTCCAGATGGCAGAGCACACCGCTGAGGGTGGGGTCCTGTACAGAAAATGGAGATTCAGTGAATGTGTGTATCAGGACTGTTACGGATTGAATTGTGTCCCCCCTAAATAGGTGTTATAAGTCCTAACCCCTATACCTGTGGTTATAATTCCATTTTGGAATGGGTTATCTTTTTGTTAATTAGGCAGTATTAGTGTACGGTGGTCTCAATCTCTTTTGATATATAAAATAGATTAAACAAGCAAGTGAGCAAGCAGAGATGGGAGAAAATAGACGCCATGCCACTGGAAAGTCACCAAGGAGCCAGGAAAAAAGGACCTTCTTCCATAGCTGAAAAAGAAAGCCTTTCCCTAGAGCCAGTGCCCTGAATTCCTAAACTGTGAGAAAATAAACTTGTTTTTTAAAGCCACACACTTGTGGTATTTCTGTTACAGCAGCACTAGGTAACTAACACAAGGATATAGAGTAAAACATTAGCTGCCATCATCTTCAGCATCGTCCTTATCATCATCCTATCATTCCCTGGGTTCTGACTCTGAGATGGAGATTTCTGGATCCTTCCTTCCGGCTGCTGATCCTTTTCTGCCCTCCGTGTCCCAAAATCAAGCGATCAGGTGCTCATCTGAATCAATCAAGTCTTTGTTTCCTGTTTCAGAGAGGGATTTGGTCAGTCTCTTCATGAATGACACAGGGACCTGAATGTCGATGTGTGTGTGCGTATGTGTGGTGGAGCAAGGGGCAGGAAAGGGAGTGGGTTTCCACCAGCATCACTCACTATGCACAAACATCTGCTGTTTGACAACGTTGCCAATGCAACAAATCATGAAACAAAAAGAAGTCAAAATTGTTTTTAGACGATGGTTCTGTCCCTGCTAAAACCAAGAGAATGAAATACTTGAACAAAGAACGTCAGCCGAGGGAAAGTATAAAAATAAGTTCATGTTTTTCTAGTGTATCAACAATAACTCATTTTATGACCCAACGAGAGAAAATGACCTCTTTTATATTCTCAACCCAGATCAATAAACACAAGAAAAAACTGAACAAGCGTTGGGCGCAAATTATAGGACTCAAGCTGCAGCAGTTTCCGGATTAAAGTGGTAAAGGAAGGCATGAAAAAAGGGAGTTTCGCAATGTCCCGATGGCAGGGTCGCAGAGGGGGCCCCTGCAGAGAAGCGCGGGGCGCCCGCCAAATCCCCGGCTCTCCGGACACCGATTCCCGAGCCGTCCTCGCTCCATCTCCGGGTCCTCGGCGCCGTCGGCTCTTGACGACCGCGTCCCTTTCTGGAGTCGCGAATGTTGCCCCTTTCCCAGTTTACCCCACTGCCTTTCGGCCCCGCAGACGCCAGCGCCGCGGGGGTTGCTGGGTGATGTAGTTCCTGCTCGCATGACGCATTTCCGGTGCGCCCGGCCTCGCCCCGCCGCCGTTGTCCCGGCTTCTGCGGTTAACTGAGGTGGCTGCCCGGTGGAATTCGGCGGATGAGGCTATCCTGGTCCCCGGAGCAACGGCTCAGACCGCTGGGGCGGAGGGCAGGAGCAGGCTGCGATGGCGATTATGATGAAGGCCGCGGGGTCCCCGAGGGCACGGCGCGGGTGAGTGGGGGCGGCAGGCGCGAGCCCGAGAGGGGCGGAGAGCTCTCCCCCAGGAGCGCATTCCAAACAGTGACACCAAAAACGCTCTTTTGTTTTCCTGTCCACTTTATACTAACATAGAAACGTGAAATAAAAACCAGGCCACAGTCCGTCGGGAACTAAATCAGCGAAGGGTACTTGAAATCACTGATTTAATGTTAAAAAGCCACTTTCCAGTTTCTGTCCATTTGCAGACTTTTTTTAAACCTTTTTTTATGTTCCTATCAAAATTAGAACTTTATGCTCGTCACCTTCCCGTTGTAAACTGTGATTTTCTCTGTAGTTGAAATAATTGAATTAACGATTTTAAAGCCACCTTCTAGTTTCTATCCATTTGCAGATTCACTTTTTTAACCTTTTTTACCTTACTGTCAAATTTAGAATTTTACATTCCTCAGTTTCACCTTGTATATTGTGAGTTTTTCCATTTTGCGACTTCTTCTTCTTCCCCTTCTCCTTGTCTTTGCCTCCACAGCTTCCCAATATTAACAAACTCCTGGCTCCTTCCACGGTCACACAGTCGTTCGGGGTCATGAATATACCTGTATGCGATTTTGGTGCTTGGTTTCTTGTGCCCACACCAGGTTTTGTTGCTCTTTCTTACAAAAATGTGGTGATACCTGTGCATTTTTCTGTGACTTGCTTTGCCCATTTAGTGTATCCTGAGATGAGAAACTGTGTTGCCTGCGCATTGTGGGACACAGGTGATTAAGTGGGTGGCCCAGTACAGTAATATAGTATGGCTTTTTTCATATGGTTCTGAGCCTGTGTTGTTAAATGTATTCCTGAGTGTGAGTGTGTTATAATTCCTTGTGTCTCATATGCATTGTTTTCGTTGTGTCCAATTCTGGTTGGTTATTGGTTATACAGAGAAAATTGTTAGCATTTGTATATTTATCTTTCCACCTTATGGAATTTTTTCTTCCTTTTCTTTTGGCCTATATACTTTAAAAAAATTAACAGCTTCATTGCCATTAACTTTTTTCTGGTAACAGCCATCTTGAGATATAATTCACGTAACTATATAATTCATCCATGTAAAGTGTACAGTTCGGTGGGTTTTAGTATATTCACAGAGTTGTGCAGTCATCACCACAACCAATTTTAGAACATTTTTATCATCCGAAATGGAAACCTCGTACCCATTAGCAGTCACTCTCTATTCTCCCCTCCCTACAGCACCTGGCAACCACTAATCTGCTTTTTGTCTCTATGGATCTGCGTGATCTGGACATTTCATATAAATGGAGTCACAGCGTATGTGGCCTTTTCTGTCTGGCTTCTTTCACTTAACATAAGGTTTTCAGAGTTCATTCATGCTGTAGCACGAATCAATACTTTATTCCTTAGTATGGGTAAAGAATATTCCATTGTATGGATATACCACATTTTGTTTATTCATCACTTGATGGGCATTTGGATTTCCACTTTTTGGCTATTGTAAACAATGATGCTATGAACATACGTGTACAAGTTTTTCAGTAGACATACATTTTTTATTTCTCTTGTGTATATACCTAGTAGTGGAATTGCGGAGTCATTTGGTAATTCTATGTTTGACTTTCTAAGGAACTGCCAAACTTTTTCAAAGCGACTTTTAGCATTTTAGTTTCCCACTAGCAGTGTATGAGGGTGTTACTCTCTCCATATCCTGGCCAACACTTGTTATTACCTACCTTTTTCATTATAGCTCTCCTAATGGAGCTCCTCAGAGTCCCTGGGTGGTACAAACAGTTAAGCATTCAACTACTAGCCAAATGGTTAGTGGTTCAAACCTACCCAGAGGAGCGATCTACTTCTGAAAGATCACAGCCATTGATAACCTTATGGAGCATTGCTACTTTGATACATTTGGGGCTGCCAGAGTCAGAATCAACTTGATGGCAACTGGTTTTTTTGTTGGTTTATTTTATGAGGCGCTACATATGGTCTCTAATTGCATATTCTTCTTTTGTAACGTGTCCCTTTAAAAATGTAAAATCCATTCGTAGCCTTCTAAAAATGGACCACAGCCTGCATTTATCTCACAGGCTATACTTCACTGACCCCTGCTTGAGAGCATCTGTTTTGCTTGGCTTTGGGCCTGTGATTTTTATAAAGAAACTGGAAGTGGGAATTCTGCCATTTCCAGTCCAGAAATCAGGCTCTCTGGTCTAATTGGCAACAGACGAGCTGCTCAGAGAACACTGAAAAGGGACTCTGTTTTACGTGGTGCTTTGAGTGACATGAGGTCTGTATCCAATCCGAGTGCCGGCCAAAGGCTGATGCTGTGTACGCACTCAACGGACACCAGCTCGCACTCTCTTCTCTGTGTTCCCCTTTGAGGAGGCAAGCACCAACTGAGCAGTACTATGTGTGATGTTTCAGGCACCTGTGAGCTTTGAGGACATGGCTGTGACCTTTAGCTGGGAGGAGTGGGGGTGCCTGGAGCCTGCCCAGACGGCCCTGTACCGCGATGTGATGCTGGACACCTGTGGGCACCTGGTCTTCCTGGGTAAGGCGCTGAAATGAAATGGCAGTTTTCCTGTCATACTTCCTGGGTGGCACAAACAGTTAAGGTTCAACTACCGGCCAAGAGGTTGGAGGTTCGAACCCACCCAGAAGTGTCTCAGGAAGACAGGCCTGGAGATATGCTTCCAAAAGGTTACAGCTTTGAAAACCCTGTGGAGCAGTTCTGCTTTGCACACATGGGGTTGCTGTGAGTGGGAATCGACTTGGTGGCAACTAACAATAACAACAATGGGAACTTCTGCCTCCAAAGCTTCTGAAGGGTGTGCCCCAGCTAGGCCAGGACATTTCAGGAGTCGGTTCTAGGTACAGGTACAGGTCCTAGTATTATCATTTCTTCTGCCTCCATAGAAGGTTTGCTACTTGTAGTCTGGGGAGCGGGCAGTTTTCTTGGAATAGCTCTGGGACCCTTCTTTGTTCACCCACACCCATCCCTGGACATTAAGGGGCTGGACCTGAAGGCGTGGTTCTTTGTTCCCAACCAGAGCACCAAATCCTGTGTCTTTCCCCATGACCAGGGCTTCTGCTTTCCAAGACAGATGTGATCTCCCGGCTGGAGCAAGAAGATCCATGGTGGGTGGAGCAAGGACGTCCCCGAGGTGAGAGCAAGACAGCAACTGAGCCTTTGCAGTGAGCGGTCCAGCTGGCGAACACAGCAGTACATTTGCAAACATGAGGCCGTGAGCTCTCTGCAGGGACCTGGGGTCCAAGGAGAAGGGGAGGCCATTTTGGGTGAGCTTCCTCAGGTGTTCTGTGATGCTTGGGTCATGTTGGAAGAGGAAGAGCCATGTTCTCATGTATGCCAGCCCTTCCTTGCAGTCCGGGCCCACAGGGAACAGCATGTTGCTGTCGTTGGGCGTTTCTCACAGCTGGGCTAACTGTGTTATCCTCATCTCTCTGCCTTAGTTATGTAGTGCTTCTGTACCAGAAATGCCACAAGTGGATGGCTTTAAAGAACTGAAATCTATTTTGTCACAGCTTAAGAGGCTAGAAGTCCAAATTCAGGGCACCAGCTCTCTCTGTGTCAACTCTGGGGGAAGATCCTTCACTCAGCGTCTCTAGCCCCAGTGTTTCTTGTATACTTGGCAATCTCCACGTGGCATCTCTCTTTCCCCAACTTCTGCTTGCTTTTGTCTGTGTCTAGTCTGTTTTATATCTCAAAAGACATTGAGTTTAAGACATACGCATACTGATACGGTCTCATTAACTTAGCAAGAAAACCCTATTTCCAAATAGGATTACATCCACAGGTTATAGAGGTTAGGGTCTGTTTTAGTCATCTAGTGCTGCTGTAACAGAAATACCACAAGTGGATGGCTTTAACAAACAAAAGTTTATTCTGTCACAGTTTAGTAACGCTAGAAGTCCAAATTCAGGGTGTCAGCTCCAAGGAAAGGCTTTCTCTGTTGGCTCTGGAGGAAGGTCCTTGTCAACAGTCTTCCCCTGGACCAGGAGCTTCTCTGCACAGGAACCCCGGGTCCACAGGACATGCTCTGCGCCTGGCACTGCTTTCTTGGTGGTATGAGGTCCCCCACTCTCTGCTCGCTTCCCTTTCCTTTTATCTCTTGTAAGATAAAAGGTGGTGCAGGCCATACCCCAGGGAAGCTCCCTTTACATTGGATCAGGGATGTAACCTGAGCAAGGGTGTTACAGCCCACCCTAATCTTTTTCGACATAATCCAATCTTGCCTCATTAACCACAGGTAGAGATTAGGATATACAGCACATAGGAAAATTATATCAGTCACAAAATGGAGGACAGCCACACAGTGCTGGGAATCATGGCCTAACCAAGTTGACACATATTTTTGGGAGACACAATTCAGTCCATGACAGGATCCCAACACATATTTTAAGAGAACACAATTCAATCCATAGCAGTCCCCTTTGGTCATCATCCCTGTGCCGCCTTGTCGCTTTCCCAGGTCCTCATGTCCCCTCTTATCTCAAGCCCCTTGTCCTGACCTCCACCTGGGGTGGCAACTCCTCCAGCCTCATTCTTCAGGACCCTGCCTTTGACCTGTGGTTGGGTGTCTGCTGCTCCTCCATCTTGGATGTTCCCATAATTTCTTTATAATTCTCAGGCATGATGAGAACATGTATGTACTAGGAAATGGCAGTGATCTATTCCTTTCAGGATTCCTCCAGAGTCTCCACTTCTGACCCACATTCCCACCTCCTTTAATCATATAGTTCCACCCCCTTATCATTTCCAGTGTCGTTCTAATTGGGTTTTTTTTTTTAAATATAATTTTATTGTGGTGAAAATATGCATAACAAGACACATGCCATCTCAATAATTTCTACGTGTATAATTCAGTGACATTGATTACATTCTTCATGTTGGGCCTCCATTATTGTTATTCTTTTCCAAATCATTCCACCACCATTAACATAACTTTAATGCCCCCTAAGTGAAAACTCCCTAAATAATTTATAAGGATCAGCACAAAACTGGTCTCTATGAGGTGGCGGTTAAAGATGTCCCAAATGTCCAACTCTTCCGAACTGCTCTACCACTTCATCATCTCTAACATCAACTACTCCCTTTCCCCTCAGTACTCTCCCTCCCATCTTTGGGTTCAGTAATTCACTGCAACATCTCACAGAACTCACGAACCATACTTACAGCTAAGTTGTTTATTAGGGAAGTAACAGTGCAGTTCAGGATCAGAAACAACTCAGGATACAGTTATTGAGTCAGGACAGCTGCTTCTCACTCTCTACTTCCTGATCCTGCTGGGGCCTTGCTGTTGGGGGCCTTCTTGGTCAAGTGTTAAAACTGTTCTGTGGGTCAGCAAGCCCCACTGCAGCCATCTTGTGCTGGTCTCCTGGCTACTGCCATCTCATGCTGCTGTCTCTCACTGTCTTCTGTGTTACGGCTCCTCTCTCTGTCTTCTGGATCTAGGAAGTTCTCAGGGCAGGGATCCCGGGTCCAAAGGACATGTCCTTTGGTTTGTGAGGTCCCCTTTCTGCTCTGGAATTGGCTCTTTTTTAATCCTAGCCAAATGGCAAAACTGACCAATCCCCTTGTTAAGGTTCTGTACACCTTGTTCTCATGGCCCCACCCACATGAGGGTACTGTGCACCTTATATTATTAGCAAACTATCCAAATCCTTTGGTGGGCCATAAGAACCTCATTTGCATAGTCCCATCCATTCATTTGGTGGGAGTTACAAAGACTGGCTAGAAAGGCTCTATTAAGTAATTTACCTCACTCCCCCTTTCCCCGCTCCCTCCCACCCATGGTAACCGCTAATAATCTTTAGTTTTTACGTATTATTTCATATAAGTGAGCTCATATAGTATTTGTCCTTTTGTGATTGAGTTTTTTCACTCAGCATGTTTTCAGGGTTTATCTGTTTTGTGGCATGCATCAAGACCTCATTTCTCTTGATGACTGAGTAGTATCCCATTGTGTGTATAGACCACATTTTGTTTATCCATTCATCTCTTGGTGGATATTTCTGTTGTTTCCACCCTTTGGCTATTGTGAAAAGTGCTACCAACCTTTTTTTTTTCCTCCCCTTTAAGCAGCTTTTTTAATATATAATTCATATCCCACACGATTTACCCATTTATAGTGTACAATTCACTGTTTTTTAGGATCTTCACAGAGTTGTGCAGCCATCACCACAATCAGTTTTAGAACTTGTTTATCACCCAGACTAATTGGGCATCTTTTCCTGATTTTTTTTTTTTTTTTTAGTTTGTTTAATTAACAGACTTTTATTTTTTAGAGCAGTTTCATGTTTACAGAAAAATTGAGCATAAAGTACAGAGTTTCCATATACCCTGTCTCCCCACACACAGTGTTCCTGTTATTAACATCTTGCATTGATGTGGTACATTTGTTATCATTGATGATCCAATTTAGATACGTTATTAACTGAAGTCCACAGTTTATCATACACAATAGCTTTACTGCCCTGAGAATGCCTTGTGTGCCACCTAGTCATCCTTTTCTTTTTCCTCCTGGATCCCTGGAAACCACTGCTGTTTTTACTGTTTTCATAGTTTTGCCTTTTCTAGAATGCCATATAGTTAGAATTATAGAGTATGTAGCTTTATCAGATTGGCCTCTTTCACTTAGCAATATGATTGTATGTATCCTTCAGACCACCAAGGACATTCCTCAGGCTAGAGGCATTGAATTTATGTCAGTTCTTCCTGCTGCAGAAGTCCTGGATGGTGCAAATGATTTGTACTCGATTAACCTAAAGGTTGGTACTTTGAACCCACCCAGTGGCACTGTGGAAGAAAGGTCTGGCAGTCTACTTCCATAAAGATTACAGCCAAGGAAACCACGTGCATCACGCTTCTACTCTCTAATGCATGAGGTCACCATGAGTCGGAATCAACTCTTTGGCAACAGGTTTGGTTTTTTTCTTCCTGCTTCCTATAACTTTCCTGCAGCCTCTGTAATTATTTTTCTCTGAAGTTTCACCGACATTTACTTATCTTCAGTTCTCCTCAGTCACCCTAAGCCACGTCCCTCATATCATGCCTCAAATGGTGTCATTCTGAAATTGGTTTGCTTCTTCTCATCTGGCATAGATGTTACTTCCTAACTGGCCCACTTTGGCACTCTGGTTTCCTCATTTCATGGTCCTGAGGGAAACCTTGCTATGGGACGTTTAATCTCCTTGGCCTGTTTTTCAGTGGCAAGCCACCCAAAGATTTCTTTTCTCTTTCTCGTCTCCACATGCCCTTTCACACCCTTTTGGTGGGGAATTATTTTATACAAAAAAAATTCTTTCCATCAAGGATTCTGAGGCGACTTCTTAGAGGAGCACAGTGGAGTCTTGGGAACGAGAATGGTGTTGGGTGTGTGTTGTTGAAGGGAAGGAAAAAGGGTGTAGATGGTGACCTTGTCCAGGAGGGTCAGAGAGTTTTTGTTTGGGACAAGGGAAATGTCCTCCCACAAGTCAAATGACGGCAAAGATTGTTTTTTGTTGTTAGCTGCTGTCACGTCAGCTCCAGCTCACAGCGACCCCATGTACAACAGAACGAAACAGTGCCCGGTCCTGAGCCATCCTCATGGTTGTTTCTATGTTTGAGTCCATTGTTGCAGCCACTATGTCAGTCCACACTGTTGAGGGTCTTGCCCTTTTTCACTGACTCTCTTCTTTACCAAGCATTATGTCCTCCAGAGACTGGTCCCTCCTGATGACATGTTCAAAGTGAGATAAAGTCTCCCCATGTTCACTTCTGAGGAGCTGAACTTTTTCCAACACTGATTTGTTCATTTGTTCTGGTAGTCCATGGTATATTCAGTATTCTTTGCTAGCACTACAATTTGAACGTGTTAGTGCATTAATGCTTTTTTACGTGGAGGGTCCTTGTCGCCTGGTAGGTACAGAGAGTGAATCATGGGCACTTAAGCAGAGGGACTTGATAGCACTAGACCAGTGGCTGCAAGACCGAAACGGTTCAGTGAAACTAAAGGAGAAATCTAGGAGAATCCTGAGCTGGGGGCCTCATGCTGTCAGCCATAGTCATTGTCAGAAGCCTGATATCTTCAGCAGAGGTGAGGACTCTCAGATAATAGCAACGGTAACAAGATTGACAGCACTGTGTATTGAAGGCACACCATATGCCAGACATTGTGCTAGGCTCACATATCAATTCATTTGACCTTCAAAGTCAATCTTGTAAGCCAAGTATTCTTGTTCTTTCCTTACAGCTGAGAACTAATGAGGCCCAGAAAGGGTAAGGACCTCTTTGAAAGTCACCAGACTGTGAAGCCAATTTGCACACAGTCTGACTGTGCTATCCAAAACTGGGTCAGTAATCCAGGACAAGGCACAAATTAGGATCCTGTACAAGTTTCGTGAAGGAGTAGCTGGGTGCAGATGGTTAGGCGATCGACTATTAAAAGATTGGTGGTTTGAATCAACCTAGAGGCACCACAGAAGAAAGACCTGGCAATCTGCTTCCAAAAGGTCACAGCCTTGAAAACCTTATGGAACAGTTCTACTCTGTAACGTGGGGCCACCAAGAGTCGGAATCCCTCGATGGCAGCGAGTTAGGTTTTCGGTTTTTGTTAATGAGTTTCCTGTGACTGCTGTAACCAGTTATCACCAGTGATTTAAACAACAGAAATTTATTTACAGTTAAAATTCTAGAGGCCAGAAGTCTGAAATTAGTATCACTGGGCCAAAATCAAGGTGTCAGCAGGGCTGTGCTCCCTCTGGAGGCTCTTAAGGGAAAAGCTGTTCTTTACCTCTTGCAGCTTCTGGTGGCTGTTGGCATTACTTGGCTTGTGGCTGTATCGCTGCAATCTTCTAATCTCTGCTCTGTCTTCACATCACCTCTTTTGTGTGAAATCTCTCTCTGCCTCTTTATAAATGCACTTGTGTTGGCATTTAGGGCGTGCCCAAGTAATCCGGGATAATCTCACCATCTCAAGATGTTTAACTTACATCTGTAAAGACCTTTTTTCCAAATAAGGTCACATTCACAGGTTCCAGGGATTAAAAAAAACCCAGATCCGTTGCCGTTGAGTCAGTTCCAACTCATACCGACCTTATAGGATAGAGTAAAACTGCTCCGTAAGGATTCCAAGGGTATAATCTTTATGAAAGCAGACTGCCACATCTTTCTCCTGTAGAGCAGCTGGTGAGTTTGAACTGCTGGCCTTTCAGTTAGCAGCTGAGCACTCAACCATTGCACCACCAGGGCTGCTTCCAGGATTAGGACATGGATATCTTTCAGGGGCCAATATCAGCTCACAACAGATCCTGTCTCAGCAACCTAAGCATGGTGTGTTGAGGTCTTTGTACTTGGAAGGTCCAGTTTCTTCTATGGATTTTCCCTTTAGTCTTCACCCTTGCTTGTTCTTCTGCTCACTCTAGCAGCCAGTCCTCCTGGGCCATCTCTTCATTATCTTTCTCTTATCTTGTACACTTTACAACTTATTTCCTATTTGCTGACTCATCCTTCCCTTTCACATGCTGCATGGATTAGAAACGTCCACAGAGAGCTCCCCACTCGGTGGTTGTCTTCATCTCAGCATCCCACTTTAAGGCTTTCTCCAGTAATTCAGGCATTTGGATTTCTTTCAGACTGGAAGACTACACTTGGAAAGAAGCAGTCAGCTTCCGAAGAGGACATCGCTGGGGAGGAGCCATCCTACAGCATGGAAATGAAATGCTGCACTTGGGAGGAGGACCCCTGGTCTGTGTCATTGGGAGAAGTGCAGGATTGGAGGGAACAGCTAGGGAAGTGCCAGGAGGACTCTGTAAGTGAAATGGTTCTCACCTCAGAGAGACTGCTCAAGGGAAATGCTGGGACCGTGAACTTGGGGGAAGTTATGGTCTGACTTTAAGTCTTTTACCGGAGACATTACCTATAAGAACACATAAGCCTGACTCACAGGTTAAAAGATTGAAACAGGATTTGGTTTTCATTAATCATCAGAATGGCTCGACAGTTCAGAAGCCCTGTGAAAATCATCAGAGTGCTAGAGCCTTTTCTCAGGGCATTTACTTGCATAAACTTGGAAAAGTTGAAATAGGAAATAAACCTTGTGAATGTGCTGTCAGTGGTGAATCTTTCAACTGTGGTACCTCCCTTCATTTTCACACTAGAATCTTTTCAGCAAACAATAGCAATGAATGTAAAGATTCTGGAAACTTCTTCAACCATAGCATGTCTCTGAATGAACACAAGCCAGTGTAATTTGGGGAAAGTCAGTTTGAGTGTGATGACTGCAAAAAAGCCTGTTCTGAGAGCTCGTGCCTTGAACAAACCTTAGGAAGTAATCTTGAAGAAGCAGTATTCAGATGTGGGGAGGGCTGTGACACATTCCACAGGGCCTCATCTTTCACTGACTATAATGTTATTCAGAGTGGAAAGAAGCCATATGTGTGTAATCAGTGTGGAAAATCTTTCAGCTGTTGCTCCAAGCTTCTTGTACACCAGCGAACGCATATTGGAGAAAAGCCCTATGAGTGTCATTGTTGTGGGAAATCTTTCCGCCAGAGCTATGACGTCGTTGTACATCAGAGAACTCATACTGGAGAGAAACCTTATGAATGTAAGCAGTGTGGGAAATCTTTCACCCAGAGTTCTAAACTTATTAGGCATCAGCGAACTCACACTGGAGAAAAACAATATACATGTCACAAATGCAGAAAATCCTTCAGGTGGAACTCTAACCTTACTGTCTATCAAAGAATTCATACTGGAGGGAAACCTTATGAGTGTGCTCATTGTGGAAAGTCCTTCAGCCAAAGCTCTGACTTCATTGCACATAAAAGGACTCACACTGGAGAGAAACCCTATGAATGTAACCAGTGTGGAAAGTCCTTCATTCGAAGCACTCAACTTACTAGGCATCTGCAAATTCATACTGGAGAGAAGCTGTGTAAATGCAGTCAATGTGGAAAAGCCTTCATTGGGCGTTCTCACTTTGTTGAGCATCAGAGAACTCATACTGGAGAGACACCTTTTGAATGCAGTCAGTGTGGAAAAACCTTCACAGGGAGCGCTCATCTCCTTTCCCATCAGAGAATTCACTCTGGGGAAAAGCCATATGAATGTAAAGACTGTAGGAAGTCCTTCAGGCAGAGATCTCAGCTTGTGCATCAGCGAACCCATACTGGAGAGAAACCTTACAAATGCAGTCATTGTGGAAAAGCTTTCAGCCAGAGGTCCCCCCTTATTGTGCATCAGAGAACACACATTGGAGAGAAACCCTATCAGTGTAGTGTGTGTGTAAAAGCCTTCAGTCAGAGATCAAGCCTTATTGAACACCAGAGGATGCATACTGGAGAAAAGCCCTATGAAAGCATTGACTGTGGGAAAGCCTTCAATGACCGGTCAACCCTTGCTAAACATGAGAGAACACACACTGGAGAGAAACCCTATGAATGTAGTCATTGCGAAAAGGCCTTTAGCCAGCGGTGTCAACTTACTAGACATCGGAGAATTCATACTGGAGAGAAACCCTATGAATGTAACAAATGTGGGAAAGCTTTCGGTTATAATACATCCCTTATGCAACATGAGAAAACTCATAGGACGAAAACCCTATGACTAATCAATGTGGGAAAGCCCCCTACCAGACCTTGTTTAGTAGACAGCAGATGACCAACTTGTGACTCAGAGTGTGGTCTGTTGACCACTTGCGTCAGAATTAGCTGGAGTGTATGTTGAAACTGCACATTACCAGGCTCACGCCATTCTACTAAATCAGAATTTCTAGTAGCAAGACTCAGGAACCTGCAGTTTCCAAAAGCATCCATCGTGTTTGGAGGTCTCGGGGTGGAGGGTCCATAAGGGTGATGAAATCCCCAGAGTTCAAGATCTCCAATGATGATTCTGGAGGCACAGTTCATGCTGGAGCAGTTAATAAAGTTGCACACTTGCAAGGTTACAAGTGATAGTGCCAGTAACTGGGCAGTCTGCAATCTGGGTCATGCAACCAGCTAACTAGGAAGCTGTCCAAGGACAGGTCCCATCTGGGTGATCTTTGGTATTAAGTTTTATACTTCAGTAGAGCTCAGGTGCTTGTTTCATATCTCCGTGCTCTAAGCTATTCTTGTGCTGAGATGTCCTACTCTTGGGTTATCAGCGTAAGTTGACTGTGGCCAACTTAGCTGGGATCAAGTTCCTCCAAGGACACAGTGAAAAGGCCTTCAAGATGCTTTACGACCTGTTGGCTGCTTATTACTGCAGCCATTTTGTGTGTCCTAAGAGGAGACCCTACTCCCTGTGTCCAGGTGGTGCTAGTAAGGGACATGCAGCAAAAAGTGCCTCATGAGCTGCTTGTTCCTCTAGCTATCATCCGATGGTCATCGTTAAAAGACCCCAGCAGACACTACAGCATCCCTGGTGATTCTTTTGCACACTAAAGTGTCTCTGCCAGTGCATCTAGCTGAGAATTACGAGTATGACTACTGATGAAAAGCATTCAGTTAGCGCTCCTAACTTAGCAGGTGTTAGGATACTTAGAATGGAGCTGTACCCTTCAGATAATTTTTTTTTTTAGTGCAGAACAACTACTTGTGCTCAGATGTCCTTATAACACATTCCTGGGAATGATAGGAAACTGGAAGATTGTCTTGATACAGAGGCCTGAACACCAGTCTAAGAGGAAACCATTGCATGACAAAGTAAGTGTTGAGCCCATCACCACCAAAGATGTTAAGGCCACCAAGCTCAAGTCCTTCAGGCAGGCCTGCTGAAGACAGATATACAGCCTAATTGTTCTGTCTTCACCTGCTGTCAGTTATCCTTCAAAGCAGGGATGCTAAAATGTGAAACCAGCCATCTTCAATGTAAAGTAGCAAGTAACACAAATCGAAAAGGCTGGAAAGTCTTCCAGAATGGTTTTATTATTAGAATAAAAAGTAGACTCTAACTTAATCTTGGAATCCATGTGCTCTAACTTACCTAACTTTGTTGCTCAGTTAGGCTGACTTTAATCATGAGAACTGGCTGCATAGCAATATGGAGAATGCTTATTAGATGAAGTGAAAACAGAAACCAAAGTGTTAGGTACGCAAAAACATTACAGCCACATAAAAATGTACACAGAATGGTTGGTGTTTTAATTATCTAGTGCTGGTATAACAGAAATACCACAAGTATTTATTCTCTCACAGTCTAGGAGGCTAGAATCTGAATTCAGGGTGCCAGCTCCAGAGGAAGTTTTTCTGTCAGCTCTGGGAGGAAGGTCCTTGTCAATCTTCCCCTGATCTAGGAGCTTCTCAGCATGGGACCCTTGGTCCAAAGGACACACTCCCAGCTCTTGTTTTCTTGGTGGTAGGAGGTCCCCCTGTCTGCTCACTTCTCTATTTTATTTTGCAAAAGAGATTGATTTAAGACACAACCTAATCTTCTAGATTGAGTCCTGCCTCATTAACATAACTGCTTCTAATCCTGCCTCATTAACATCATAGAGGTAGGATTTACAACATATAAGAAAATCACATCAGATGACAAAAAGGTGAACAAATCACACAATACTGAGAATCATGACCTAGCCAAGTTGACACACATTTTGGGGGGACACCATAACAGCTGGGTAAGAAGGTCAACTTGGCATGCTCACCAAAGGGGGGGAAATGTAAACTGACATCAGTGTAGAGAGCGGGAGTGAGACTTGCTGCAAATTTGAGCAATATGAGATTAGTTGGGAGAGCATCGCCCGAAGATGGAGAGTGGGAAAGACCAAAGTTGGGAACGTGTGCAGAGGGCTGCAACAGTGGAGATCCTGGTCCCCTAGCAGAGCTGTAGACAGGTGGGGTAGGAAAGCGGGGTTAATTGAAGGTCTGTCCATGAAACTCTGAATCCCTCTTCCCCCTTGCCTTTTTTTTTTTGTCTGACATGTATTTGGCTGTGGGTAGGCAAAAAAAGGGGAGGGAATATGTGCTTTAAAATGAATTTACCTTCATCTGGGGTACTAGGGAATCTGTGAGTATTGTGCACTAGAGCAAAAGCTGCCTCGATTTGCATATCAAGGGCCTTCATCCTAACAGCTGCTGCTTGTCCTCTTCAACCTAAATCTGTGTCATTAAACGAGCCCTGCCCATCTATGGAGCTTTCCGTCAACTTTGTGATGGCCTCTTTCCATATGGATGCATGCCAAGGAGCGAAAGACTTGAAGGAAGTTTCCAACATGAAAGAGTCTAAGATAACAAAAACTGACCCCAAAGAGAACAAATGTTTGAGGGAACTGAATATTTAAGATGTTTTATTATCCTGAGAGAGTCTAGAAAAGATTGCAAGTGTAAAATCAGACCAAAATGTTGTGAGAAAAGGACAATAAGAACAAGAATAGACTCTTTGGAATTGAAAATAAGATTGTTGGACAAGGGAAAAGAAGTGTCAAAAGTATAAATAAAATTTCCTGGAACATAAGAGCAAAGATGAAAAGATACATAGGTAAGAGGGTCCAGTAATGAGTTCCATGAAGAAGAAAAATTTATTAAAGATATGTAAGAATTTATGCAGGGCTGAAAGAAAAAACATCCTTTAGATTATGGCAAGTACTGTCTGAGAAGGCTAAGACCCATGCAGCATGAAAATTGAGAACCACAAGATTAAAAAGAGATCCCAAAATCTTTCAGAGAGAAAATAATTTTGAAACTATGAAAGGAATATGGTTTTTTAAGAAATGGACTATTTCTTATCCCAATTTTTTAAAAAAGATAATCAGACTTAAGGTAAACAAATTGTTCAAGGAAATGTACAAATTGTAGCAGAAGACTGTAGTCCAAACTTTAGAAAGTACTTATTTGACCTGGATGCTAATAATTCTTTTCTAGAGGAAGAAAAGGGCTTAGGAAATTGGGATACAAAAGGAGTAATAAGATTATGTTTACTAGCCCCTCTGTGAACAATATTTGCATAGATAGGTTATAAACAGTAGCTATTGGTTTTTAATTTTGAGGAAGAAACCCATAACCATGACATATGGACTTCATAACAGCAATGGATGAGAGTGCCGGTGTTCTCAGTCTTATCATCAGCAGTAATGGCAAAGCCTGCAGATGTTGGAAAGTGTAAGCGAAAAGAGAAGTAGGAAAAAGAGAATGCCTGTATCCTCATCTTAGAAAGTAGGCTTTAAAAAAATACGGTATCTAAAGTTACTTAAAGCCACTGCCATGGAGTCAACACTGACTCATAGTGACCCTATAGGACAAAGTAGAACTGTCCTATAGGGTTTCCAAGGCTGTGATCTTTATGGAAGCAGACTGCCACATCTTTCTCCTGCGTAGTGGCTGGTGGGTTCAAATCACATCCTTTCAGTTAACAACCAAGCGCTTAACCACTCTGCCACCATGTCTCCTTATGGTCACTTGGGAGACCAAAATTAGAGTTCAAAACACTAAGTTGACCAAAAACGGAAGTTAGTAAAGGAGTGCCAGTGTGAGTCAAATCATCACCTATTACAGCAGGAGGTCAGTACAATCGAAAGACAGTAGAAGATCAGAGATACAGAGGTAACCTTGAGAAAAAAATGGAACAGAAATGGTTCAAAGTGGTTGGTAGGATGTTAACTGTTGGGTAGTGTCATAGATTATGTCATCCCAAAAATGTGTTTATCAATTTGACTGGGCCATGATTCCTGGTATTGTGTGATTTTCCTGTATGTTGTACATCCTGCCTGTATTAATGAGAGGATGGGCAGTAATTCTGTTAGTGAGGCAGGACTCAGTCTTGAAGATTGGATTGTGAATTGAGGCAATCTCTTGAGATATGGAAGAGAGAAGTGAGCAGAGAGACGGGGACCTCATACCATCCAGAAAGCAGTGCTGGGAGCAGAGCATGCCCTTTGGACCTGGGGTCCCCATGCGGAGAAGCTCCTAGTCTGGGGGAAGATTGATGGGAAGGCCAACAGAGAAGGCCTTCCCCTGTAGCTGACACCCTGAATTTGGGCTTTTAGCCTACTTTATTGTGAGAAAATAAACTTTGTTAAAGCCATCCACTTGTGGTATTTCTGTTATAGCAGCACTAGATGACTAAGACAGTGTGGGACAGGAGATGATTGCTTTCCATCTTCTGTAGCATTTCATTCCCTGTGGCTGTACACTTATTTGGATAACTCTAAAAACCCTTCAAATGTGTTTCTATAGGTGAGAAAAACAACAGCGCCTGGGGACATCTGCAATTGATTTGGGAGATTATGTACGATTTTTCTTCTCCACTTTTGAGTCACTGTCAGTGTAATAGTAATTTGACAATTAAAAAAAGCAAGCAAGAGCAAAAAGAAAATCAAGGTGTCAGACTCTTGTTTGACCATTTAGTGTTGATTGGGGCAGTAGGACAAGAAAGCTCGTTGGTTTCTAGAATCCCCAGGGACTAAAGAGGGTGATTCATTCCTTTCTTTAAGACTTGATTTCCCAGAAGCCTTATCCGCAGGAAGTCAGTGGGTCCCAGGGAGTAAGAACCTGCGGAGGCAGGGCGGAATCCTTTCTGAAGGCTTGGCTGCCACCCTACAAAGCAGAAGGCACGTGTGCTTTTTTTCATCACTGCGAAGTACTGAAGGTGCTTCCCCAAGGGCACCTTTGCAGTCATCTGATACCTTTTCATAAAACCCTTTGCAGTAATGTAGCCCTCACAATTCACAAAAGACCTTAGGTTAAGAGAAGGGAAATGCCTTGCCTGGGGCAGCCTGGTCAGAACAGGTGGGAAAACTGTTTCAGACGTTTAGTCCTGCTGCTGGGACCAATGTCCTTGTGTAGCTTTCAGAAGAGGCAGGAGCCTGGAAGGAAGGACCTGCCAATAGGTCCAAGAGTCAGAAGTTTGTTCATTGATTCTTGGGACCAAACCTGTTCTCTAGAGATGTTTCCATTCAGCAAGTCTTGAAAGTAGCCTGGTTCAAAGAATGTGCTGCTAGAGGCTCTGAAGTAGGGAGGATGTGTGATGCCACAGTGCTCTCAAGTCCCTTTTTCTGAAATGGGAATCCCACGGGGGGTGGGGTGGTTTGATGCACTTCTGGAGACCACTGCACAGTGGAGACCACATGCAAAATGGAAATGTCCAAGGAATGGTAAGGACAGAAGCTATCATTTATGAAGTTAGCATCAGGTGAGACGCTGGTAGATTTTTCTACCCTTTTCATAGATCAGGAGCCTCAGATTCATATGAACCCCAAAAGTGGACTCATTTGAAATAGCAACCTGAGACTTTTTTGCCCTAAATGATTCTTACACCCACAGACCTTGGATTCCCAATTGGAACGTGCATAAGAACCACCCAAGAGGAGGTTAGTTTTAGAATGTCAGGCCCCTGGGCCCAACTTGGAGAGCTTGCTTGATCCTAAGGTTTATATCTAATCGTTTGAATTGCTTTTGTCAGTTTGACCCTGTATAGATAGATCTTAGAAAAGCATAATGTCCCAAGGCACACATTATGTACTAGCTAAGCTAAACTATTGTTTGGTTTTAAGAAGACTTCAGGGGATATTTTTCATTTAAGGTTAAACATATTTTTGCTACAACTAGTAGAACTGTTGGAGGGCCCCCAAGGCGACCCCCACATCTGGAGATTCAGTAGAAGAACTAGTACTTAGCATATAGTTGTACTCTCAGCTAAGGTTTATGACAGCAATGTAATTAGGATGCACAGCTGGGTCATAAAGGAAAAGACAGGTCTGGAGGAATCTACATGAATGCTTCATTATGCACCTTCCCTCCTGAGGTCACAGAGAACGCTATCTTCCCCGAGCAACAAAAATGCAGTAAGGTGTATGAAATGTTTGTGTCCAGGGAAGCTCATTAGAGACTCAGCACCCAGGGTTTTTATTGGGAGCTGCTCAGGTAGACATCAAGCTCTGCCCAGCACGGACCAAAATCCCACACTCCCAGAAGGAAAGTGGGTATTCAGTGTAAATGACATTGTTTGCACAAATAGTCTAGGCACAGTGAGCCATCCTTATCAGTGGGAGAACAGATAAAATATTCCACAAGCCAAGTTCCCAGACACCAACCCATGGCCAACTTTGCAAACAAACCCTTATAAAATGGTAGCCTCAGGCCTGCTGTGTTAGCCCCTTTTGTCACAAGATCTCATACCTCTTCAAACATGAATACAGTTAGCAGCTGTATTCACCTTACCGGCTAAATTAAACCATTTAAACTGAAGCTCCTTGGCCCACAAGATGGATAAATGATGCGGTTCATATCTTTCCTGCTTGAAACTGGTGTTTTGGAATGT